GGCCAACACCATCCTTTAGAACCGAAGTCTCTGCTGAATATAAGTCCCCTCTCCAGCCACCCAGCCATCTGAAGTGAGGGAAGTTTGGAAAGGTCAGAGAGAGGTGCCGGTACTCACCCAGCTCAGCAGCAATTTCCTTCCGGGCCCCCAGGGCTGCTCCACTCCAGATGGCATCTAGTACACGGCTGCCATGGCGACTACAGGCCAGAGCCACATATTGTCCCTGCAGTGAGACAGGCAAGGTAGGTCCCCCTAGGGCAGTCCACAAAGGTGTGCTGGGGAGGGCAAGGGGTGAAGTGAAGTTTCCAAAGTTTACAGGTGGAGTCAAGAGAATCTGGGAACTACATATTCTCTCTTTGACTCTGAAGGACAGTACTAGGGCAAGCTCATGTTCTCTTAAATGGATGTTGGTGGGGGCATCAAAGCAGAAACTAGAACCTTTAGGGTCTTCAGCACACGGCGGCGCTGCTTGCGTGTCACGGAGGGGCTGGTCAGGATGGCATCGAGCACGTGTGAGCCAGCAGGGCTCTGGGCTAGAGTCAGAAGTTGTGGTCCCGTCAAAGCACCCAGACTTTGAAGTATAATACCAGGACTAGAGAAATGCAACAGATGCTGGAGCAGGAGAGACCCCAGGACTGTCACGTCCCCCAGGGCCCTGGCCGTGGCCATGTCCACCTGGAAGGACAGAGAGAGGGCGTTAGGAGGCAGCCACCAAACTGCCACCTCTGCCTGGATGAAGCCAGAGACCTCACCACCCTCACCACAAGGGTGAAGGACTTTTTAAACCCTGGCCCCCAACTAGTCACTGGCTTGGCCCCTCTCCTACCTCACCTGGTGCTCTGCAGGCACTGCCCCCTCCTCCTCCAGCAGTCCATAGTACACCTCATAAGCCATCAAAGTGGCAAAGAGGGGCACACAGGCCACTTGCCGGGAAGAGGGCTCCGCACAATGGAATGCCTACAGGAGAGGACAAAACATGATGAATCTGAGAACTACCTCATCCCTAACCCCGACTCTCTAGACAAGGGAAAGCATTCAGGAGATGTCAGAGTGTAAGCTGCACAAGGGCAGGATCTCCTCTGCCTTGCTGTATCCCCCGCCTCTATACACATGACAGGGGTTGAATAAACATTTAGTCCTCAAATAAACCATTCTCTTAGTCCTGGGAGACAATTTTCATTCCAGGGCTATGAGATGGGTTTGGCTTCATTTCTCCCTGTATCTGTGAACTCCTCGGGCATGAGACCTCTTCGAGTCCAGAGATACAACCACCGAAGATCAGAGAAGTCCTAACTGGTAGAATTTGAACTGAGGGCATAAATGGGTGGCGGGTAATATCACCTCCAACAACAGCTGCAGGACCTGGGCTTGGTGGGCCCCAACTCTGCGGCATGCCCCCACCAGGGCAATGACCACCCCTGGGTGACCTTGAGCCAGCACAGCTTCCAGGGCAGGGCTCAGCTCCTCAAACACAGGGGACAGCTGAGGAGAGACACAGAATGAAGAATCTTTGGCATTCTGTAACAGTGGACTAAGTTATTCAGAGAAATCTTCCTACTGAAAACAACTAAAAACGCTAGATAAGCATTGCCAATATCAGGGATTTGGTTTGGCCACATAAAGTCCAGGACCAGGGGACAGTTTTAGAGGTGCCGCCTCACTCGGGGGGGGGGAGCAGGGTACTTTAAATGGCCACTCTCAAAATAAGGGGATACTAGAATTAAATCCGCCCTTCTTACCCCAACTCCCAACCCATGAGATCACAGGCAAGCATGTCTTGGTGCTAAGCAGCAAAGGCAAAAAGAAGCTACGGCAATAGCCCTAGCACTCACACAGATTTGTAGCTAAGTACCCAGGGTCTGAATGGACCATGGAACCTCAAGCTGCAAATCTGGATTAAGCCAGTCTCCTGCCAGGCACCTGAGAAACTAACACAAATCCTTTCTGGGAAGAAGGCACTTTTGTCCTAAGCTCTGAGAAACCCCCAGGAATAACCTTTCAAGGGGAATGGCCAGCACACTGTCAGAGACACCGAGGCAGGCATCCAATAAAATAAGGCCCAATGAACAAGAACTAGCAGAAACAACAGAGTACAGAAAGAGATCTAGCCCCATTCTCAACTCACCAGCTCAGGGGTAGTAATAGCATCCAGTAAACGCTGCAAAGGGAAGTTGGCAATAGGGTGCGCAGCCAGGGCCTGCAGCTGCCCTTGGAAGTGATCCTCAAAGAGGCTCTGGAGCCTCAGGGGCTCCAACACCAGCAGGACCTGCTCCAGGAGTCTGGAGCTCGTCTGATCCCGCAGAAATAGCAGCAGGGGACTAGGGACAAGGAGAAGGTGATCAGGCAGCCTTTATTCTACTTCATCTAAAATACCCACATCACTTCATTCACAGCTTGACCATACCTGCCATCTGCTGAGGAGTTGCGGCTACTCAGATAGCTGATCACAGCACTGCAGAGATGAGCACAAAACTGGGGCAGTTTGCGGTGTAAGATTTGTAAGGCCACTTGAAGGCAGAAGCTGGAGATCTTGTCAGTGATAAATACTGTGGGAGAGGGCAGAAATAATCAAAGCAGCTCTTCCAAAATCCCGACAACCTGTACAACCTCAAACCTCAAGCAATAAGGTACCAGGGACTATGGACATAAAGGCTCTATACAGAGTCTTTGCAATATCAAACCAGATCAGATTTGAAGAGGAATAAGACTGATCTAAGTAAGAGCTTTGCATGATGACAATCACCTCCAGAAAAATGGTCCTAGACCCTCCTTCTATCACCCTCCTTACCGGCAATGTCCTTCAGAAAGCAAGAGCTCAGGTCCTGAAGGCGATTCAAGAAAGTTTCAGGGACCTCAAAATCAGTTGGCTTACATTCCCGAGCTGGGGCCCTTTGTGCGTCTGAAAGATCAAAAATTTGTGCAGTGCTGGGATCACAAACTACCATCCAAGAGAGAGAATGGTTCCATAGATGATCAAGGATTCAGCTTGGAGATGCAGAACACGCATGAATATCTCTTCTCATCTGGATGACTGAACTGAGACTATGTTTCTGTTTTAATTTTTCTAAGAAATTTCAACCAGCTCCCCAGTGGTCCATAGGAGACAGGTCAAACTCTCAGTCAGGAATTCAAGGTGTTCTAAAATCAGGTCTCATCTAAACTCTCTAACCTTATTTCCCAGAGTTTTTAAAAATGTAGGTCACTGCCTATCAGTGCATCATGAAATCACTTTAGTGGATCTTAACCAGGCCTTTTTCAATGGAATAGAACAGAATAAAATAAACCAGAGAAGAAAATATCAAAGTGGACTGCACATATTAAGAATATTGTCTCTCAAAGTTCTGTTTTGAGTCCAATATCTGTATACATACACAGAGGCAGGTTCGGTGATGTTTAAAAAAAAAAAAAAAATTCTGTAAGTTGTGGTTAAAAAAAAAATTGACATCCATTGCTCAAATGAATCAACTTGTACCCCTGGCCCATTCTACTAGCTGTCCCTCAAACACACTGACACATCCTCACCTCTGGGCCTCTGCACTAATCTTTGGTTTGTTAAGCCTTGTCCTCATTTCTCTGCTAATTCTTCAAAGTCATGAGGAATTACTCTTCTGCTTACTCTCTCCTTCTGGACTTCCCAAACTCTCCTCTCCTCTAGGTCCACTTCCCTATCTTGTAGTACTTACCAGGTGACTGAGAGCCACGGTGCCTGGCTCTCTCAGACTCCAGAAGAGTCCCTCCCAACACCTGCAGCAGAGTTCTGACCACGAAGCTGCCATGTGTGTCTCCACAGTAGAAAAGAAAATCATCACACACCTCAGAGGCTAGTCCCAAAACCAGCTCCTCCAGGGTCTCCAAGGGACCATCCTTGCCATTCTCCTCCTCCTCCACGTCCTCCTCTTTCTCTGCCGGGCTCCCCAGCAATCGAGGCAGCTGCAGCAAAGCGCTTTGCAAGACATGCACCCCGCATCGATGACAGGCCACAAAGCGCAAGCTGGAGCGCAAAGCAGCCCAGACTCGACACAGCGGTTTCAGGGGACTGAATCCCAACAGTTCCTGCATAATCTCACTGCCAGTCCTGTTTGTGGCCAAGGCTAGGGCCTGAGCCTCCACTTCCTTCAAAACATTGTGCACCATCAGTTCTGGAGAGACAAGAAAAGAAATATTTTAGAGACTGAGAGGAGAATAAGGTTATGTTCCATCAGTTAACAGAGTGAGGGAGAGAGCGGGGAGCGATGAAGAGGATATGGGAGGGTGCCTGGGTGGCTCAGTTGGTTAAGCGGCTGCCTTCGGCTCAGGTCATGATCCTGGAGTCCTGGGATCGAGTCCCGCATCGGGCTCCCTGCTCGGCAGGGAGTCTGCTTCTCCCTCTGACCCTCCCCCGTCTCATGTGCTCTCTCTCTCTCATTCTTTCTCTCAAATAAATAAAAAAATCTTAAAAAAAAAAAAAAAAAAGAGGATATGGGAGACGAGACTAAGTCCCAACGCCCTGGGAACCCATGAAAATTTCCCTGCTTGTCCTGGAATTTATGCCCAACGAATCCCTCTTAGTCCCGCCCTGCGGTTGCTCCCCACCTCGTTCTTCTCCGGTCTCGGGACCCTCTTTCAGCGCGGACAGCGCCCGGCGGAAATACCCCAGAGCTTCGGGGCTCAGGTGAGGGTGCGCATCTAGGGCCGGCTCCGAGCTCCGGTCGGGAGGCGGGCAGGGTGGCCGCCGGCGGTCTGGTGGGGGGCGCCCTGACCCCTTGGCCCCGCGCCCTCGTTTGCCACCTGCTGGGAACCGGCGCCCCGCCTTGTGCGGGGAGCGCGGACCCAGCCCCATGGATTGGCTAAAGCCCCTGTCCGTCCGCCAAAGCTTCCCCAGCCACAGGGGAACAAGCAGCGAGGCGCGTGCGGGGCCCGCACCGAGTCTAGAAACGCCGGCGCGCTCGGAGCGCAGCATTACGTCATAGTTCCGCGACGGCCCCTAGTCGGGCGTCCGCGGACCTGCTCCCAGGTCGCCCCGCCTCCATTCCTTAGTCCCTGTCCCAGCTGGGATCATCTCCTCCACGCCCCCAGCTGACCCCGGACCAGAACGGAGACTGGCTCCCCAGCCTCACACTCTGACTCAGTTGCACTCACCCCATCCTGCCCCCGCGGCCGGAATTGAAGTTCGCGAAGTCCAAGGACTTTGCGAGCTAGACGGCGCCGGGACTCCAAGACCGCACGGGTGGCGGGCAGGTAAGGGGCGCGAGCTCCCACTACTTAGGACTCAGGGTCCCTGGGCCTCGCGCTCACCCCCGACAGGGCCAGGCCAGAGGCCAGAGCTCCTGATAGCCCAGCAGCCTGCGTGGACCCGCCGTGAGGGGCTACCGCGCCAGAACCCCACCCGGTCAGCCTGTTTCAGACTCCCCGTAGGTGTCTGGCCCTGGACAGTCCTACCCAGCCCCTGGGGTCATAGTCGCTCGATGGCTCCTAGCCAGGGGGCAGTGACCAACTCGTTCGCCTCCCAAAAAGGACCAACAGCCTTACCCTGCAGCCTGCACTATTGTCCCGCTCTGAAACTTCTCTTTGCTCAAAGGATCCCAACCTTGGCTCCCTCTCCTATCGCTATCCCGATCACCCTTCCACAATACACAGTTTGCAGGCTTCCCTAGAGCAAGTCTTTGCTTCCACAGATTCCCCCTTTTGCTTGTGAATCATGGCAGCTCCCATGAAGGGCCAAGTGTGCGTGGTGACTGGTGCTTCCAGGGGTATTGGCCGCGGCATCGCCTTGCAACTCTGCCAAGCAGGTGCCACAGTTTACATCACCGGCCGCCATATGGACACCCTTCGGGCCACTGCTGAGGAGGTGGGTGCTTCCTCTGGAACCACAGGGGCAGAAAACACCTGAGGTAGCCCTTCCCACTGACACCCCTTCCACTAATCCCTTACCTGAAGCCATAATATTTCTTTCTCTTTTTTTTTAAAGATTTTATTTATTTATTTGAGAGAGAGAATAAGAGAGAAAGAGCACATGAGAGGGGGAGGGTCAGAGGGAGAAGCAGACTCCCTGCTGAGCAGGCAGCCTGATGCGGGACTCAATCCCGGGACTCCAGGATCATGACCTGAGCCGAAGGCGGTTGCTGGTCCAACTGAGCCACCCAGGCGCCCAGCCATCATATTTCTCAACACAATGTAAATATTTACTCAAACTAGAATAAATAAAACCCATAAATAACCTCAGATCAGGTCAAAGTTTGCCACTGAGTTTTATGAAAAAACTTTCTGTTTGAGACCTTCAGGGGTTTTGGAATTGCAACTGAAGGGTTGTGGACCTGTGCTTCCCTCTATTTTAGGCAAGACTTTACCAAGCTCTACACTTACGGTTGACTTTTCTACTGGATTTCAGTTAAATATTTGGTTTGCCAAAAATTGTGTGAAGCACGGAGGTTAACCAAGACCAGTAAGATGTCACTTCTGCTTTTAAAAGATAGGGCCTAGCAGGAAATCAGAGGCAGACACAGAATGCTCTAGGAGCATGGGTGAGCAGTTAGGAAGCAAGGAGGTAAGAGGGTAGGACCCAGAGCATGGATCTGGAGAATAGGAGGATTGGTCTTGAATAAGGTATTTTTCTTCCTGTGAAGTTAGAGGATGGGGACACATTTATGGCGGGTGAGATAGAACAGAAAGTAGAAACAGTTCATAGCTGAGAGTTTTGGTTTGTCAGTTACTAGGCGGGAGCGTTGGTGAGGTGACGGTCAGAGGGCTGGGACTGAGTAGGGGTTACACGTGAGTGGTGAAGGGGGGAGCTCAGAGCGTGAGAGATGGGAATGACCAAGGACAAGGAAAAAGAGAGATACTCCTTTCTCAGGAGCAGCCCTCCTGCCTTATTTGTCCCTTGCCTTCCACTAGCAGAGTACAATGCCTTGCCCATGGTAGGCCTCAGTAAATGTAGGTTTTATTTTATTTATTTATTTTTTTAAAGATTTTATTTATTTATTTGACAGAGAGAGACAGCGAGAGAGGGAACACAAGCAGGGGGAGTGGGAGAGGGAGAAGCAGGCTTCCCGCCGAGCAGGGAGCCCGATGTGGGGCTCCATCCCGGGACTCTGGGATCGTGACCCGAGCGGAAGGCAGACGCCTAACGACTGAGCCACTCAGGCACCCAGTAAATGTAGATTTTAAACCTGAAATCCCAGTCCTTTTGGGTCGGTAGGGAAAGGACCTAGCATTCCTGAAGATCCTCAAACAGACACCAGAGGGCGGTATTGCCCTTAGCTGCTGGCTTTGATTCCTACTCTTGCCCTCTCAGCCCCCCAAGCTGGGAGTTGAAGAGAGTTGCCTCCTGTCTCACACTCACGTGCAACTGTAAACTCATATCCACTCTGTCCCTCATCAGGCACAATCTCGAGGAGGCCGGTGTGTGCCTGTGGTGTGTGATTCAAGCCAGGAGAGTGAAGTGCAAAGCTTGTTTGAGCAAGTGGATCGGGAGCAGCAGGGGCGTCTGGATGTGCTGGTCAACAACGCCTATGCCGGAGTCCTGGTACCCTTTAAACTTGATTCCAGCTCCACATTCCTAACCTCCCCCTCTGACCCTGGAGCCTTCATCCCCACTCACTGTCCCTTTCATTATCCAGCCCCTCATACCTTCCTGCCTTCAGATCATCCAACTCACCACAGTCCCTGTGCTTTCCAGGCAATTATGAAGAACATTAACAAGGCATTCTGGGAAATCCCTGCCTCCATCTGGGATGATATCAACAATGTTGGACTCAGGTGAGTGTTCCCTTTGCACACCACAAGGGCTGAGCGGGCCTGGACCTTTCCCCGTGTGCCCTCTCCTTGTCCCTCTGACCTCCCCATCTCTTTCTTCTCCTTGTCCCATTTGTCTTACACCTCTGGAGAATTTCCATCCAGGGGGATCTGTACCTGGGAACATTGAGTTTTACCTTGTTTCTGTCAGTGATTTTCGTCTGAACTTGCTCGTGTCCTCTCTCCTGCCTCTTACTCTGCACATCCAAATGCATGGCCCAGAAGGGAGCCTCCTTTCCTCAGTAAGGCACACCACCTATGGTTGACGTTGACAAAGATGGTTAGAGGAAGAAATTCTTCTGTTTTAGATCAAGAGAAGGTCAATGAGCGTGAGCACCTGCCATTTTAGCCTCCATATCCTCACTCCAGATCCGCAGGCCAGGGCACCCCCATGTCAGAGTTACACATACATCTGGCGTGGGAGTGAGATGAAGCACAGCATGTAGAGTTCACCTAGCATGATACACCAGTTGTGTCTCTTTTTTTTTAATTGTTGGAACGATGGTGCCCTCTCGGAAACTGCACTCTGTGGGTGTGATCAGCCACCTATGGGAGTAACTAAGAGGTTATCTGAAAATCTGTGCCTAAAGCATTTAAGAACACGCACAGCTTCTAGTGGCAATCCCAAGGAAGCAGGATTAGAATGCAGCTGTGATTTCCAAGGTAAAAGAAAGATGATGACGACAGGGCAGGATGGTCAGCTAAGAGGCAAGAAAAGAAAGCCCAAAGACTGGTAATTGGCAATGCCCACATGCTTAGCCTTCCAAAGGGAACGGCCCTCCACACTCTCATCTCTTTCGAGTCAGGGTTATGAGCCTATAAGGCAGAGAGGTCCAGACCTCGGCCCCTGAGCCCTGATGAATTTTCCAAAATAAAGGCCACTTGGTGAGCCTCTTGAAAGCCCAGCCTCCCCCACACACGCATTCAGGTATACATTTACTGTGCCTTTCCTCTGCATTACCTTAGATTGGGCTTTCCTTTTGAAACTATAATTCTTTCTCCTTGTTTCCACTTGGAGGGTCCTGTTTCCCATGCAAATGAAATGTTTTTCTGGTTACCGAGTATGTGTGTGCTGGGTTTTCCCTACATAGGAAGGTAGAAAACTGAGCTTTTCCTTTACACTCACCCACTGATAGTTCGTTTTACCGGTGTTCCTCTCAGAAAGTGGCCTCTAGGCCCGGATTCCCCAGGTCTGCGGCCGCCCCTATGTGGCCTTCTCTCTTCGGTCCCAGCCACTAGAGGGCAGAGGAAGCTGCCAGGGCTACAGCAGCCAGGCCAGCGGCGAACATCATTTATTCCTTCTCCTTCCTTTCCCACCCTCTAGAGGCCACTACTTGTGCTCGGTGTATGGAGCACGGCTCATGGTTCCAGCTGGTCGGGGGCTCATCGTGGTCATCTCCTCCATTGGGGGGCTGCAGTATCTCTTCAATGTCCCCTATGGCGTGGGCAAAGCTGCGGTGAGGACCCAAGAGGACGGGGGTGAGGGAGGCATTGGACAGTGACGGTACCTATAGCTCAGGAGATAGAGATCAGTGCTCAGAGTAGTAAGGCCGACTGGCCCACTCGTCGCCCTCTGCCCCTCCATAGACAGTTCCTCTGCCTGGGCTCTCCTTGGCTGGCCAGACTAGGCAGTGCACTGGGGCGGTAGACGGCTGAGACAGGGCTCCCGGGAAGGGTTAGGGGGCTGGGTGTACCCAGCAGAAGCAGGGAAGGTAGGTGAGGAAGGCAGTGTGGCCAGGTGCCCTGGCTCTCACCCTGCCTTCTGTCCTTCTACAGTGCGACAGGCTGGCTGTGGACTGTGCCCAGGAGCTGCGGCGCCACGGGGTCAGCTACGTGTCTCTGTGGCCAGGGTTGGTGCAGACAGAACTAATAAAGGAGGTCGTGGTGAAAAACGACAATACTGACGATCCCCTGTTGAAGCAGGTGGGCAAGGGGAGGGCGAGGGAGGCGGGGGACGCAGAGAACTCAGCCTCTCCATCCTCAATGACAAGACAGTAACAACAACGGAGAGCCAATCCCCCGGTGCCTACTGCGGCGGGCGCGGGGCTGAGCACTGGACACACGTTATGCCCTTTTAAGCTGTAAGGGAGATATTATCTCCATTGTACAGATGGCAAAACCGAAACCTGGAAACATTAGGAACTTGCTCAAGGTCATGTATGCCATAAGTGGAAAGGCTTCGTGCCCGGAAGCCCATGCTCTTGACCCCTGCACTGAACTAGCCTGGGAGGTCCAGACATAGTTGACGTTCCAAGATGTTTCCACTTAGGAGAGGCAGTGGGTCCTGGTGCCAGAGTACAGGGCTCACCTGAATGTAGGGAAGAGTGGCTCCAGCACCTTCTGAGTCCCGCAGGTGCACTGATGAGGGCCTGTCTCTCCTGGAATAGGAGCTGAAAGTGGGGAAGAAATGTGGGCAGTTCTCTTGGAGATTAGCCCTTCACTTCTCTGCCCTTGTGTTTCAGTTGAGATCTAATTTTTCCTCTGCGGAGACCACAGAAATGAGTGGCAAATGTGTCGTGGCTCTGGCAACAGGTAAAGAGGTTGGGGGCAGGTGGTAACAAGAAAGGGCCTGGAGATGGGGCGCCCAGGTGGCTCATTTAGCTAAGCGTCTGCCTTCGGCTCAGGTCATGATCCCAGGGTCCTGGGATCGAGCCCCGCATCGGGCTCCCTGCTCAGTGGGGAGTCTGCTTCTCCCTCTCCTTCTGTGTCCTCTCTCTTTCTCTCTCTCAAATAAATAAATCTTAAAAAAAAAAAAAAGAAGAAGAAAGAGAGAAAGAGGGCGGGCGGGTGGGCCTGGAGAATCTGCAGGGTGGTGGCATCCAGTCCTGAGTCCTGGCTCAGGAGATGGTTGAGGAAAATGCCCTCCTTTTCTCTGGCTTCTGGAGACCCAAAGCGGCCTAGGGACTGGCTTACAGGAAGTGCAGCCGGGAGCCAGAGGTCTGAGAACCTTCCTAGGAACACAAATAATTCTGGGCACCTAAGCCTGTCAGTGGTTCCCTGTGCCACTGGGCCCAAACCTTGTCACACCACGTCACTTCTATGCCTCTCAGCTGCGTTTGTGCCCACAGATCCCAATGTCCTGAGCCTGAGTGGGAGGGTGCTGCCATCTTGTGACCTTGCTCGGCGCTACAACCTTCAGGATGTGGACGGTGAGCGCTCTGGCGGCGCAGCCAAGCTGGACCTCCCTTCCTCCGTTGCCTGCTCACTCCTCCTCCTCCCACACTCTCTCCCCATTCCTTCTTCCCTCACATCCCACTCAGGCTCTTCAGCCAAGGTGGAGGTGTCTAAGGAGTGGGAAATGAAGACCTAACCCTCCTCTTCCTGTGGTCTGCAGGCCGCCCCGTCCAAGACTACTTGGCTTTGAGCTCGGTCCTCTCGCATGGTTCTAGCCTGGGCTGGCTGGCCTCCTACTTGCCTGGCTTCCTCCGTATCCCCAAGTGGATTTTGACCCTCTACGCTAGCAAGTTCTGACCCTCCTGGCCTGACGTCATGCCTCTGCCCTCCCTCAGGCTACATAGTAAGGCCTATCTCAGTGAAACAAGGCAGCCTCTCCTGCCTACCTCATACCCTTGAGAGGAAGAGAAGGCCTCCACTGTGCGTCCTGGGTGAGCCCTGTGGGCCCTTACGGATCCTTCTTTATGCCTTAATTTTACCTGCCCCTACATTTCACTTTTTGCCTTAGTATTGAAAAACGCTCTGGGGGCTAATAAAAGTCTCGTTTCTCTTTCAGTGAGTTTTGACTGTTGATTGTGTGCTCAGCAAAGCGTTAAGTGCTTGACAGAAAGACTCCAAGATATGCAAAATGTTTAGGTCCCCAAGGAGTTCCCTTGCCAGGACAAAGCCCCTTTCCTCCAGACGTGTTCCTGCTCTTCCCTGTAGGGCTGCCCATCTCAGGCCACGAGGCCTGTTTCCACGCCTCGCTGGGGGACAGGGTCCCTCCACGACCAGAAGCAGGCCCACCCCTGTCTTGCAGTAGTTTCGCACCCCCGCAGTCCACCACCTCCTCAGGGATGCCTGCTGCCTTCTAGCTGGGCCTGATCTCAGGGCGGCAAGGGCAGATTCCTCGGTGTTTATTATTTCCTGGCATTTGGGAGGACAGTACTGTCCCAATCCAGGTGAGAGGCAGAGGAATAGCTGCAGGCTCCTTCCTCGCTGGACGGTACCGCCTGAATTGCTTCCTGAGGAATTGACTGCCCGAGCCCTTTCGGGCTGCCTGGCCTACTCCGGGGGCTGTCCCAGCCTGAGGCAAGGCAGCCCAGGCTGTGAGCCCAGGGCCCCTCTGAGGGAGCCTCCCCAGCAGCAGCCTAGATGGCCATCAACGTAACGGGACAGCTGCTGTCAGTCAGAGGTGCAAAGACCATTTCTAATCTTTGCAAAAGGCAGAGTGAGAGCTGAGGCCATAGCACGTGCAGGAACTGTGAGCTCCCTGCGGCTTGCGGGGACGGCACCACTTACCGTTCCAGTGCCGTGTGCGAGGGTGGCTGGTGAGCGCCGACTCTGTGCTTCTCTTCCAGCTCCCCAGTCTGTGGTGACTGCACATTTGCTGCTTGAAGTTAGCCTCAGCGAGAGTATACACGCCACAGAACCCAAGAAAGGCTACTAATCAGGGCTTCTATTTACTTATTTATTTATTTAGAGAGAGCTGACTTAGCACGTGACTGGAACTATGTCCTAAATCCCACCATTTGGCCAAGCACCCCATGGTCACAGTGATCAGATGTCCTCAGCACCCTCTGACCCCCTTCCACTCGCCACCCTCAGTTCCTATTATCTCCTAAGGTTGGCGAGAGGCAGAGGCATTGCCTATATGCTATGGTACCAATAAGGGCCTCTAGACCTGCAGCCTTCCACAGCCATCATTAGAAGAAATCCTGGCGTGATGGCGTTGCCGCCTAAAGGCCTCAAGGGACTTGGGAAGAATATGAGTTTCAGAGTCAGGCAAATCTACGTACAAATTTTGGCTCCACCACTTTGGGGATGAAATGAAGTAACACGTATAAATCCCCGGGCAGTATGTAGCCGTCAAAGTTGTCAGTTCCTTCTCTTGACAAGTGTTTAAGGACACGGTCTGCACCAGGCACCATTCTTGGCTTTGGGAACGCAGAACACAAGACAAAGCAGGCCCTGGCCCACAAAGGATGTTCACTTCAGTCCTAGAAGACCTTAGAAGCCATCGAGACTTTCTATTGACTGGAGGAAGTGAGTGAACCGAGGCCCCCAGGGTCCACAGCACATGGAATGAGACCTCAGTCCTGGTATCCCAAGGAACCAGAGGGGCAGTGTTCTTTCCGGCACACCACCCGGCTTCCCTCCAACAAGCGTCAGTCACTCTTCAAAACAAGCAATAGAGGGCGCCTGGGTGCCTCAGTCGGTTAAGCGTCTGCCTTGGGCTCCGGTCATGGTCCCAGGGTCCTGGGATTGAGCCCCGCGTCGGGCTCCCTGCTCCGTGGGAAGCCTACTTCTCCCTCTCCCACTCCCCCTGCTTGTGTTCCCTCTCTTGCTGTGTCTCTCTGTCAAATAAATAAATAAAATCTTTAAAAAAAAACCAAAACAAGCAATAGAGTAACAGAGCTCTGAGGGAATGAAACGTGGACAGTGAGTTTTGATTGGAGGTGAAGAGATTCAAGATCTAAGAAACTCAATAGCAGAGTCACAGGACACTGGGGGGGCGGGGATCAATGTTCATTCCAAAAAATGTTTATTTATGCCTACACTCTTCCCAACACCCTATCAGGCCCAGGGAAGACTACTTAAGTTTGCGAGATGGGTGCCATGGCCAAGTTCACAAAGAGTACCCTGAGAATACAGGAGGAAGCAACTAGCTCCATTAGAGAACTGAACGAAGGGATACTGGCCAGAGACTTAAAAAATGGGGAGAGAGGAGGAGTGGGGAGGTTTAATTATTTCTAATTAAGAAAATAAAGGGCATGTACTGAGGCACAAAAGGGGTCCCTTTCCCTCCTAGATTCCCTCATTATCGAGTTAAGCACAAGCAGCTTCCGGTTCCTCTGCTCTTCTGGCACACAAGTCCAGGCAGGCCCTGGACCCCTTGACCTTGCTCCAAGCAAGTTGACCCACTTCTAAGCTCCCCGAGGCACCGCAGTACAGAGGGCCTCAGTATTCACCCAGAGAAGGTCCAGCCCATGCCTGTCCTTCACCCCAGCTCAGGGCGGGCTCTGTCTCTGCAGCTCAACATGAGCTCAACATGGGCCAGCTCGGCCTGGTCAAACAGGAAGCCCCAGGGCTCTGTGAATGGTCCCTGGGCAGGGGCACCCATGGTTGCGTGTGGGGTAGGGCGGCTGGCCAAGGCATGTGTCAGGGAGGGATCAGGACAGACCGAGATGAACAAGGGCTAGACCGAGGGGTGTAGATTCCAGCTTTCAGGACAAGTCACTGAGAAGTTCCCATCAGTTCCTGAAGGCCCTTTTGGGTGCTGTGAGTGAAAGAGGGGGGTGGGAATTCAGGCAGGGGAAAGAAAAGCCCACATGAGGGCCCCAAGGAGCCCGAGTCCAGTGAGCAAATCAAGATGAGGTGGTTGGGCCCAGGCCTGCCCCTTTTCCTTCCTCATTCTGGTTCCACCCACCCATAATCCTCAGTGGCCTTTACTCTCTCTGAGTTCTTTTCTGAGGCCCCTCCAGCTCTTGGTCTCCCCACCCCTGGGCAGAGCCCCTGCAGCCTGCCGCCCGTCCCATCTGGTCCCGGGTCCTCGCCCCCTTGTTGGCCCACCCTCCACAAAACCCCTCTCCCCGGACCCTTCTGCCTATGCCCTCTCAGGCTCCCCGCCCTCCCGCTGCTCCTCTTTGCCCCCCCGCCCATCCTCGCCTGCTCTTTCCCTGGCCCCAGTGCTGAACGTTCTCCCTGCCCTTCCATCTCCTGGTCAGCTGGCAGTCAGTGGCAGCTTCCTCCGTGCCCAGCCCCGGGCAGCGAAAGGGGAAGGGGTGCAGGCAGGCCTCGTGAAACCAAGGTCTGGCTCTCGAAGTGCTTTCAGTTATCATCATGAGACAATTAGACAACCATGGGGAGACACAGGGTGGGGACTCAAACAAGCAGGAGGGGTCAGCGTAGCCAGGCTGCCTCCCAGGCCGCACTCAATTGTCGTTCCTTTCAGGTTTCACTTTCCTGGGCATGTCACAACATTCTCATGCCTGCCTTTCTCGGCAAAACCTCATCTCTATCTCATTTCCTGCCTCCAGGCATCCAGGGGCACCCTTACTCATCTCGGTCTGTCCTGATCCCTCCCTGACACACGCCTTGGCCAGCCGCCCCACCCCACACGCAACCATGAGTGCCCCTGCCCAGGGACCATTCACAGAGCCCTGGGGCTTCCTGTTTGACCAGGCTGAGCTGGCCCATGTTGAGCTCATGTTGAGCTGCAGAGACAGAGCCCACCCTGAGCTGGGGCGAAGGACAGGCATGGGCTGGACCTTCTCTGGGTGAACACTGAGGCCCTCTGTACTGCGGTGCCTCGGGGAGCTTAGAAGTGGGTCAACTTGCTTGGAGCAAGGTCAAGGGGTCCAAGGCCTGCCTGGACTTGTGTGCCAGAAGAGCAGAGGAACCGGAAGCTGCTTGTGCTTAACTCGATAATGAGGGAATCTAGGAGGGAAAGGGACCCATTTCTAGGCCCTTGGAAATGAAGGAGCCTGTGAGAAGTGCTGGGAAAGAGGCAGAGGGAGGACGTAGGGTCAGCTTGGTGCAATCTCTGTTAGCAGGTACAGACACATGTGCACCTGTCCTCCAGTGAGCAGGTCTTAGCTTCCCACTTCTTAGACAGGTGGTTCCAGAAGAAACAGGCAAAGCCAGAACTCCACAGACAACGCCTGGCATCCCCAGAGGGGCTCATGCAGGAGGGAGCAAAGGTGACTCAGCTTTGGACTTTCACTGTCACTTGAACACAGCTGAGCCAGCCAGAGACTCGTGTTATGGTAGAGGCTGAGGGAATTAGCATCTACTGAGCATCTACCTCCGCTGAGGTCTTACTGAATCTTTTCACATCTGCCACATGAGGTAAGTACTCTCTTACATCTTTGGAAACTGAGGCTCAGAAAAGTTGAGATACTTGTCCAGGTTGCAAGTCTTTATAGCAAAAGAGTCTAGCTTCGGGGCCCCTGGGTGGCTCAGTCATTAAGCGTCTGCCTTCGGCTCAGGTCATGATCCCAGAGCCCTGGGATCGAGCCCCGCATCGGGCTCCCTGCTCCGTGGGAAGCCTGCTTCTCCCTCTCCCACTCCCCCTGCTTGTGTTCCCCTCTCTCGCTGTCTCTCTCTCTGTCAAATAAATAAATAAATAAATAAATAAATAAATAAATAAGAAAGAGTCTAGCTTCAACGTATGACTCCAAAACATGGGCTCTTTCCCAAGCATCCTCCTGCCTCCACTGCTTGGTTTTTGGGGGTTTTGTTTGGTTTTCTTTTCTTTTTTAAAGATTTTATTTATTTATTTGACAGAGAGACACAGCAAGAGAGGGAACACAAGCAGGGGGAGTGGGAGAGGGAGAAGCAGGCTTCCCACTAAACAGGGAGCTCGATGCAGGACTTGATCCCGGGACCCCGGGATCATGACCCGAGCCAAAGGCAGACGCCCAACAACTGAGCCACCCAGGTGCCCCTTGTTTGGTTTTCGTCTGGGAGGATCTTTTCTTTTTAGCAGAGAGCGTTGGCATTTGGGCAGGATTGTGAAAGTGTTCCCAAGTTCACTCAACCCAAGGATGCCCTGGCCAAGTTCAGAGTTGCTCTTCTTT